ACCCATCATTGGTTTATGAAGTACATGCACTACAGCCAAACGTGCGAGAAGGTTTTCAAAAAAGGCGGCGCAGAACGTGGGAGGTGTGTAGGTGGCACTTTGGAATGTCGAATAACCCATTCCGTTCAAACAATCTCAGATAGAAAGTGTTTTATATATGTATCTAGATGTGAATATATCAATGTCGCTATCTCAAAATTCAATACATATATATATATATATATATATATATATATATATATATATATATATATGATGATGATGGACTCTACCGTCGGTTTCGACGTATGAGGATCTGTCAGCTTAATGGATTCAGTTATGAAATAGTGATTTAAAGGAGGCCACATATGGCGCAAGAGTGAGATGAGATCACTGTTAGATTGGCTGACCTTTTAGATATTGCTCTGGCTTGAAGATGATTCAGACAGGCAATGATTATGAAAATGGGTTATATATATATATATATATATATATATAAATATATATATATATTACCCATTCGGCGCCCAGATGAGACTAGCCAACTGACTCCATTTAAAAATACACAGAAATGTACAGTGTATCAGTTCCTAGGTTATAGTAATTTTCCAAGCGTAGCTTAGATGTGACACAAGGCCGAAAGTATGGGGCACCCAGTGAGGATCGAACTCACTACTCAGTGATTCTTCTAGCAAGACAAGCTTGTTAACCATTACACCGCTTCGAGGTGCCCAATCAGCTTCTAGGTTATATGCTCAACAGGTTACGGCGAAACAATTGACAATCACATCTGTTGTACTAAATTAACCAAGACAAAACATGGACATGTAAACACCACTAATTAATTAAGTTCAGAACTTATGAAGCCTTGCCTGGTATAGCATCAGTGCATTTATTTTTATTAGTAGTAGTAGTAGTAATACTAGTAGTAGTAGTAGTATTTTATTTCCTTTGATTTTTGGTGTATACTCATTTCTTTCCGGGTCCCAACTAGAGACCTAAGGTCAGAAATGGCATCATGATATTTTCCACTGAGTATTTTTCGAGGAAAATAAAATAACACATTTTACAAAAAGTCCATCTTAAAGCGTGGGGTGTATTTGCAAGAATAATTTTTGTATTTCTTTAAGTCATGGGCTACCGGGAATCCCTTAAATAAGTCCATTGGATTCGTTTGCAATCAATGCAAGTGCTCTAAATACAACTGGAATTATTGATGTCCTCACATGCAACATTTCTGAGATTTCGATTTCAAGGTCTGTAGGGACTGCCATGTCAATAAGAAAGCACATTTCTGTTCTTGTAGTCTCTGATCACAATGTCAGGGCGATTAGCTTGGATTGTTCTGTCTTTGTGCAATGTAAAGTCTCATAAAATTGTTCCAGGTCCTATATCCGTAATCCGGATCTGGGTGGTGTTCATACCAATTTCTTGCGGTTTCCTTCCCGTAAACGTTGCAGATTCTTCCAGTATAGACATTGGCCAACTCTGTCATGCCGGGTTTTATATTCAGTGGGTGCCAATATCGTCCAACCTGATACAAGATGGTCAATTGTTTCTGGATATTTATCACAGAATCTGTATTTTGGACTAACACAATTTTTCAGTATGTGTGCTTGGTAATTTCTAGTTAGCAAGAATTGGTCCTGTGCTGCAAGGATGAAACCTTCAGTTTCAACTTTTAACTCTGCACTACGTAGCCACTGATGGGTACGGCTTTTGTCTACGTCAGCTTGTTTGGTACGGACAGATTATTACTATTATTATTATTTTTATTATTCCCTTTCATTTTTGTTGCATATTCTTTTCCCTCCGGGTCCCAACCAGAGACATAACGTCAGAAATGGCATCATGAGATTTTCCATTGATCATTTTTTTTTTAAAAAAAAGAAGAAAAAAAGAAGGCAACCATTTTACATAGATAAAGCCCTTCGTAAGATGTGAGCTGTACTCATGAGAACAATTTTTGTACTATTTCAAGGCATTGGCTACCAGGAATCCCTTCAATGAGCCAATTGGAATCTTTTCCATTCAAACTATTCTTAAAGAATCTAACTTATATTTATCTAATACAAAGAATATACTCTTAAAGAGGCAGACTATGAACTAGAAACTTGCGATCCACAAGATAAAATTCCCACTAAACAGACACACACACAATTAAAAATACACATTACCATCTGATGCCCACTTAGACATAGAAGAATCTTTATGAACCTTGATACACATAGAAATATCTATGGTTTTAATACACGTGACATGTGTCTGACCAATGAGAACTGATCCAATCATAATTGAAAATACTAGTTTTTCTGCCTTTTTTCTCTCGGTTTCAACTAAGCTTTTTTAAAAGTCAAACATATTAGATTGATATACGTTTCCTATTTGTTCTTTTTATTTTATCATATATATATATATATATATATATATATATATATATATATATATATATATTCCGGATCATTTTCAAGCTTATTCAAGATGATCTTTGCCCTCTCTAACCTTCTAACTTTCAGTCCTG